AAACAGTCAAAGGAAGAACCTTGACAGCAACAAGAAGAAACTTATCACTAACAAAATCTCTTCAATACTATTAACAGCTAATTTCTAACTTGAAACTATGGAAGGCAAATGGCAGCACAACTTCAAATTAATATGGTCCTTGCATAGTCCTAACAATCTTGAGAAAAGAACAAAGTTGGTAGGCTCACACTTTCTAATTTCAAAACTTACAAATCTATAAATAATTAAACACTGTGGTGGCTGGCATAAAACCAGATATACAGACAAATAGAATAGAATGATTATTCCAGAATTAAACACATATATCTGTATCTGTGTCTAAGTGATTTTTCACAAGACTGACAAGACCATTACATGGGGGGGGGGGGAAATAATGTCTTCTAAATAGATGTCGTTGGACATGGTGTTAGATAAGTAGATTTCCACATCCTTTTCAAAATAAAGTTTATGTTTATCTCACATTATATACCAAAATTTACTCTTAATAAATCAACCTTATATAAGAGTTAAAGCCACAAAACTTTTGGAGAAAAACCAAGGCAAATCTTTATAACCTCTGATTTTGAAGTGTACTATCAAATATAAAATCAAAAGCATAAACAACAAAATACACATAGAATTCATAAAGAATTAAAAAATCTTGCTTATTAAGGTATCGTATGAAGAAAGTGAAAAGAAAATGCACAATATAGGAGAAATTATGTATGACATAAAGGATGTCTACACGACTATATAAACAACCCCTTCAATTTAGTGGTAAAAGACAACCAGAGTTTAAAATGGGCAAAGGACTGGAGTAGACATTTTTTTCAAAGAAGATATACAAATAGTCAATAAGAATGTGAAATAATCTTTAACCTCATGGGTTATTAGAAAAATGCTATTTAAAACTATGAAGAGACACTTTCCACTTACCAGGATGACTAAAAAAAACAATTGGAGATTACAAAATGTGGAGAGGCTGGAATCCCACCAACCTCAACATCATAGGATAGCAATTACTCAGAATTCTCAAAGGTGAAATGATCATATGACCTAGCAATGCTACTCCTAGGTATCCATCCTGAAGAGTTTAAAACTAGGACTTAAATAGATACTTGTACATTACGATTCATTGCAGTCGTATTTACAGTGGTCAAAGGTGGAAACAAAGCGTCCTTCAAAAGATGAACGGATAAACATTTACACACAAGCAAATATGCATATGGGTGGGTATTATTAAACCGTGAAAATAAATCGAGTCCTGATTCAGGCTTTACCATTGCTGCAGAAAAATTACAATGAGTAGAATAAACTAAATCTAAAAGAAACTGTGTAACTCCACATATATGAAATAGCTGGAACAGGCATATTCGTAGACAGAAAGCAGATCAGAGTTTATTAGGAGCTAGGGGGTGGGGCAGAAGTAAGTATTATTGCTGCGGAAACAAAAACAATTATGTTTGGAGTGATGAAAAAAGTTTTAAAGTAATTGTTTTAAAGGAGAGGGAGATGATTATGCAATAATGTGAATGAAGTTAATGTCACTGAGTTGGATTCTTAAAATGGCTAAAATGTTATGCCATATAAAACAATGCTTTTTTAAAACTTAATGTGAGGAACCAGCAGATGGTATATTGGTTGTATTACTAGACCCCTAGGTAGTCGACTGCGGTTCAAGTCTCTGACCCAGCAGATTAAAACTCATGCCAGTGTAGGGACCAGCAATTAGCATAATGGCTGTGTCGCTGAACTCGCATGTAGTTGATGGCGGTTCAGGTCCTAACCTGTTGGCTTAAACTCACGCCGGGTGCATGTGCGTGCATGCCCTATCTCTCTTTCTCTCTTTGTCTTTCTGGTTAGCACACACAACTTATAGCAAAAACCTCTCCAAAAACAACACAAATAAAAAACAATCACACAAACAAACAAGAACTCATGCCAGGCTCATGTGCATGAGTACCCAAAACCTGAGAGGAGAATGGAGAAGGGATTGTGGCATGACCATCCTCCCTAGGGAATAATATATATAGCTTTCTGCCTCTCTGTCTCTCTGTCTCTGGAAAGTTCACATACCCTAAGGCAAAAGTCTCTCTAAAAAAAAGAAGAAAAACTTGATTGTGAGCTGGGCATGTTGGCACAAGTTCATAACCTCAGCAACTTGGAGGGTGAGGCAGAGAATAGGGTGTTTGTGGCCACCCTGGGCAACGTAGTGAGACCCCGTCCCTTAAAAAATAAACAAGCATGTGATAGAGACTTTTACTTTGGTTAAGCATAATATACTTCGCATCATTTGTCTTTTTAGATAATTGCATATGCCCACATACACACACACACACACACACACAGACACACACACACACACACACACACACACACACAATTTAATCAATAGATTTATGAACTATAAATACAAGTAAATTTGTAAATAATAAAGCTAACTAAAAAATAAAAGCTGAATAATTTCCTAAGATAAATAAGAGTGGAAGAAATGATGAATTTACTTGAATATATTTTAGAAAAAACAGGCACCATAAAATATTCCATAATATGAATTTAAATGTGATAAGATTTAACAGACACTTTAGACTTGTATGAAAACTAACCTACACTCCTAAATTACAATTAAAATGGAAAATGAGACACATATAAGATTTATTTTCATGTAGTATCCCTTCCAACTAACAATACTATTTTGTTACTAATTTTCATTTGCACAAATTAAGGACTTTAAAAAATCATAGTCATAGATTTCCAACATATAAACTAGAGTTTTCAGTTCACTTTCACATCTCACATGCTATACCTATAGTGCATTCAAAATATTTTTACTTGATTTATTTTGCATATGCTTGATGTGTTTTACAAAATATATCTACTATGTATAAGATATTTAATTAAGTTGAACTGCTAGTGTTTATTATTATGTATTTTAGCAGCTAGATTACTTTCAAAATTACTCTGGACTATAGAATGATGGAAAACACAGGAATGACTTCCAATATATGTGCTGTAATCTCATGCTTTAGACTTATCATCCATTAGATCATCCCTGCGCACTAGAATATGCTCAGCTAAAATAAATGAATTGTTTCTGCTTATCTTCAAAATATTATATTGTCATTTTCTTATAGAACTTTTATTTGTGAATAGCCATTAATCTTACTTATTTTTAGGCATACTTACTCCTGTATTTTCTTAATATAAGCAGAAAATATTGTTTCATACAAATTGATTATTGAACACCTTGAGAATAGTAAACTATGTCATACACTTCCTTATAAATATTTTTTTGAAAAAAAAGCATAGAGTGTCTGATGAAAATATGTTCAAAGTGTCTGATTACTGTTGATTGAATGTATATATAAATGAAATTTTCAAATTTAGATGTAGAGAATGTAGGGGAGGGAAACATGAATAGGTGAAGATTGATTTTGGTCTTTAGCACTAAAAATTCTGTTCATTGGAAAGCAATAGCATGAATATCCCAGAGAAAGGAAGAAGCAGATGACAGATCAGGCTACTAATGCTATGTCGTTATCACCATCAAGAATATAAAAGCATCAATTCCATTGGTGTGGGAGCTAATGGAAAGGTAAACAGGATAATGTCTTGAAGGAAAGGTGGGAGGTCACAAAAGGCACCTTCAACTGTTACTCTGCACAATCCGGGATAACCTTTTTGTTCCTGACACTGTACATTGGATGAGAAAATGTGTATGTAACAGAAAGTGCTTTGTAGGGGTGATGTTTCCTTTTCATCACCATAAACATTTTTATACACGGACACATATATATACATAAACAGGATTGTCCTAGGGCAATAGAATGGTGAAGAAATGGAACTATAAGAGGTGAATTGCCCAACGTTTCCAATTAACTACGAAATAGCAATGCCCACCTGTTACTTCTGCTTCATTCATCACTGTGGTGTGTAGGAGTATGTGCGCATGTGCATTTGGGGATTGTCCTAGTGTGCTCCGAAGCACAGCTTCCATGTGCCATTAGTGGCTGACGGTCTATAATCTCTCCTTGGATTCTTGGATAATTGTAATAGTTCAAGAGAGGTACAGTGGTGGGCAGATTATCCTGCATTTTTTTAAAGGACAAATAATTTCTTGGCTTTTTAAATTAATTTGTAAAGATTTCAAACTGCATATTGTTTTTAATAATAAAAAAACAGAATTGTCAAAGAACAGACCCACTATCTCAAGATTTAGTCTGAATTCAGTTGATATTAACAATGCTCCTAGTAATTTTGTTGCAGAACTTATTGCTTAACCTAAATACTGTGAAGCTTTACAGGCATTTTCAAATTTTACTCTAGTACTCATTTTGTAACAATATAGAAGATTAGAGTGTATAAGTAGCTGGACAAATTCACACAGCCCAAGTCTCCTTCACACGAGGACCAGCTCTTAAATTCTAAACTTGAATACTACTTATATATGACTGTATTAACACCATTAGCCATCAAAGATATCTCAGTTCTATATATGCCGGTGTTGAATTTGATCATGTTCTTCCTTATTTAGCCAGCAATTGTGCAAAATTGAAGAAATAAACACATATAATGAAACACAAGGCTTGAAGTTATTAACACTTATTTAACTCTGGCTCTCCGACAAAGTAACAAATCAGTTGGGATTAATTACCGTTATGTCTACCTTGATCTTTTCTGAAGTTCTGCTAACAGAAGAGTGCCCTTAACACTTTCAGTCTTACACTGAGGCATGAAATTGCTATAAATGTGCTTAAAGAGCTGTACTGCTCTCCCCTATCAGTGGGAGCACTTCAGTCATGGAAGAAATAGTTCCAACATTATAAAGCAATTTGCAATCCCTTCAGGTTTGTGTACTACCTAAATGTAAAACAGCACTGCTAGTTATAGCAATGGTCTTTTCACCATTCGTACCGGAAGCAATAGGCATTTCGACAAATCAGGCAATGTGCAAATTCTGTCATAGTAAAACATTTATTTGTTAAAGTGATATAGATTATTCAAGATTCTACAGTCTTTTAAATCATGGATGGCAATGTAAGATGGATTGATACAGAATTTGATGCCAATGTAGGCTTTTTCTTTCTTTCATTAAAAAGAAAAAAAAAAAATACTTGTAGACCAGAAGAAAAAAAAAATTGGTCTTAAAAGGGGATGAACCATGAGTTGATGGAGCCAGTTCCGCCAGCGTCAGAGACTTCCATCTTGGCTCCTCTGGACAGTTTCTTCTAGGACACCAGTTCAACAATAAGCCTTTGTGAATTGAAACGTTTTTTTTAAATTTTATCCAGTAAAAATATCAGTGGCAACTTTTTTCAGGAGAGAGAGAAGTGGTGCTCTTCAGATTAACTCCAGCCTCTGAAATGAAAGAGAAAAAAAAAAAAAGAAAAAAAAAGAAAACACGTAGCTAATAAGATCATTGTGCTATCAATCCACAAATTACTGAACTATAAGTACCCAGACAGGAGTATCTTGCCATAAGATACAAGACACACTCCTGAGAGTATGTAAATATACATGTCAATATTTAAAATTTTGTTTGGTAATTTCAAATAAGTAAACGGATACAAGGCTATAACTCAAAACCAAGTTGTGAAATAGCATTTTCCCCTACTTTAGTTTTCAATTTACACTCTCAAAGTTTAAACAAATAATAACTATTTTTATTAATGGATGCCACTTAAGTGTTAACAAATTTTCATACTTTTTAAAAAAAATAAACACATCTTAGATCAAATTCGTTTGCCACTTCTAAAACCTAAGTGGTCCATATCTATTTCTTATACATATTCTACTAGGAATTTTGTAGAATAATGTAATTTTATGAAGTGCAATTATGTATTAATGATAGAGAAGAATATTATTCTTCTTTACTACTTAGTTCTTTATCCATGGAATGAATAACGTAAGTATGTTTTTGAAAGAAAATGATAAAAAACAATTCATGAAACTATTTAAATATTGGGACCAGCAGTTGGCGTAATGGCTGTGTTGCTGAACTCCCATCTAGTCGACCATGGTTCGAGTCCTGGACCTGTGTGTCTTAAAATCACGCTGGGCGCGTGTGCATGCATGGCGAAGATCCCAAGAGGAGAATGGAAGAGAATGGAAGAGAAGGGATTGTGGCATGATCATCCCCCCAGGGGGGTGACTTCTCACTTGCTGACTCTCTCTGTCTTTCCTGTGGGCACCATATGGGAAAAACTTCTCCAAAAAAATAAAATTCAAAAAAAAAAAAAAACTAATTAAATATGAAAGTGTGGGGGGCCAGCAGATGGCATAGCAGTTACATCACTCACTCCCACATTGCTGACCTCAATTCAAGTCCCGAATCTGGTTACTTGAAACTCACGCTGAGTGTGTGTGCATGCATGCCCAAGATCCCAGGAGGAGAATGGGGGAGAAGGGATTGCTGCACGGCCATTTCCCCAGGGGGTGATTTTTCACTTTCCTTCTCACTATCTCTTTTTCTCTACAGTGAACACACACGTTCCTAAGGCAAAAATGCTTCCCCCCAAAAAAGGTAAAATATGAAACAGTGAAAATATTTTCCTCTGATATAAGTTCTCAGTCTTTATAGATTTAAAATATATCTATAAATTCTATCCTCAACAAACATGAACAAGAATTTTTGAAATATATGTGCTAAGACATAATTTAAATAAAAGTAATTTTTACTTCCAACTTAAAAACAACTACACTTGAAATTTCTACTTGAAATTTATAAAAAAAAATACGTTCACAAGTGAGCCATAAAATACAGACTTTAATTTAGTGAATATTTTAGATCAAAACGCTAATGTCAAATACATTGTGTTGTCAGAAAAGTCACGACATACTTTTTCTAAACGAAAATGCATCATGACTTTTCTGACAGCCCAGTACTTGGATAACTATATGTGCTAAGATTATTAAAGTATATTAAATTTATTCTGGTAACTTAATGAAATAAAGGTATGTAAAATGCTATAGTGATATTTTATTTCTAAAAATATTTCAAAATACCAGATGATCTGATTAAATGAAGTTATTTTTGGCACAAATAATAATTTTAGAGGACTAACAAGGGATGCACCCAATGTTTGAAAAATGTTGAAGGACCAATGTACATTCCATTTAGCAAATCAAATTACTGGGCAAACTACTTCTATGACTATCATGCTTTACCTCAAATATACTTAGAAAAACCATTCAAAATCACTTTAAATTACAGTGGTATGTGCCTCTAAATTCTTTTTATTGGGTTTATAGTATAGCTTATTTTAGTTCATTGAATATAGGCAATATTTTACTTTTTAGATTTCCAATATAGAGTCTCTTTGATAGAAAAATTTGTATTATACCTAATTTCAAGTTATAGGAAGTAATCACATAGTAAATGACTCAACATACTAGAAAATAAAAACAGTAAGTGATACAATTAGTTTGACTGTAAGTAGTAACTTGGGGATAACAAACTTGAGTCAAATACCAAGTTTATGATTTTATAAGCTGACATATCTTAGGGTTTTTGATTCAGTCCCACATTACACAACAATAGTATTAACAAACTATGAAATTATGGTATATGTAAATGTTAATTTTCTTAAGATTCAGAAATAGCAACAATTTGGGAAACTATGATGGCGGTGTTTCTGCCCCAAAGATACAACCATTATTCAAATAATGGCACAATGTGGAGTCAAATAAAAACTGGAATTAGGTAGACCCAAAATAATTTTAAAATATTTTCTTAGTAATTGGCAAACTGACAATAATTTCATGAAGATCTAAACAAGGAACCTAAACTTCAGGCGTATTACAAAGATAAACATGAAAGATGATATTTATTTTGATAAAGTATTACAAGAACTAAAATTCATTAACTTATGGCAAATTCAGCGTAATTTGATAATGGTCCTCATCTCACAGTGGAAAGCTGTCATGTAGACAGTCTAAATACTGAAAAGGAAAAAGGAAGTGCTTGCCACCTCAATGTTAAGGGAAGGAAAACATGTCATCACATTAAATGGATCATAAGAAAATGCGTATTACTCTTCTTATTCTGAAAGTAATTAAGAACAATGTACAGCTGAGATGTCTAAATGAGAAAAAAAATGATTTCTAAAGGGCATTGTCGACATTAGGCTTCTATTTATTTTCCTGATGTGGTGTAATGTTCAGATAAATTTGTCAAAACTGTACTTGAATTATTAGAAAAATATCTAAATGTTTTCTGTAAGTGTTTATTCCAATACTCTTCTTTTTAACAAAATTACTTCATGGACATTTTCCATGAAAAAAAGGCCTGCAGAACCAAATATTTTATATTGACCATTGGCACTTGGAAAAATATTGAAACTATATTCATGTCATATATAAAGATTAGCTTCGATCTTTGAATCTTATTTTATGTATTTTCCTAACCTTATATCTTCCCATAGTTTTAAAAAATGTTGCTATTTATTTTCAATTAACATTATTGACTTTTTACTTATTCACATATCAGTAGTTTCCCTAAAATTACTGTACTCTTTTGGTTAGTGTATTTGTGGCAGAGATTTTTGTAATGATGATTAAATTTTTAAAATAAATTAATATTAAAAATATCATAATCACAATTATAGATGATTAAAATCATGAGGTATTTGTCTTCAAAGCTGACATAAGCAAATACAGAATAGGTCAGAGCTTTGGTCTTATACACCCGCCCCCCCAGCCCTCCCCCACACACAGATTCATACACACAGTTAATGCATCCATATGTTGTTGATTTGAACAAAGAAAATATTTCTTAAACAATTTTACTTCAGACATTTTCAGTGTAAATGCAAACTAGTCAACTGTTCCTACCTCAACCACCAAGCATGGCATATTGTTTATTTTTTAGGAGATATTTTTGCTATAAGGAGCAGGGGCTTGTTGTAGAGATAGAGAGAGAGACAGAGAAGCAGAAAGAAATCACCCCCCAGGGTTAGTGGCCATGCTGTAAACCCTTATTCTCTGTTCTCTCAGGATTTTGGGAGTGCATGCACATGCCCCTGATGTGAGTTTTGAGCCACGGCACTTGAACTGTGATCTACTACATGGGAGTTCACAATGTAACCACTACCCCATCTGCTGGTCCCGCTATTGTTTTGCCAGGATTATTTTAAGGATAAAACTCTTTGTCAAACAGAAGGCTAATTTAGGTGCAAGTGTCAATTTACATGTAAATATCAATTAATTTTATAAATGATTACTCTCCCTTTTGCTCTCCACTCACTTTACGTTGATTAGGGAATGGTATGGATACGTTGAAATATTTTAAACTTATTCTAGTTCTATACCTATTCAGGAAAGCTACCAAAGAAGAAAATTGGCATTGTGTATATTCTGACTAATGGAAATTAAATAAATATTTTAACTCTCTAGGCTTGGAAAAAAAAATGATCTTAGCAGGCACCTCAGTAGGATTAGCTACATATAAGAGGGCGGGGAAGCTGTGATCAGGGCAGTCCCTGCCAACTGCACCTCACTTCACTCACACACATTAAGTGCTACTGACAGTGTGAAAGGCTATGAGAAAACTGAGAGCACACAGGTCACAGACTCTTCAGAAAGGGCATCGCTTCTTGGTCCTGCTGACAGCTTTCGAAATGATAGGCCTGCTATAGCAGAAATCATTTACTAAGTACCAAGAAATAGTTACACTGAGGTTTATATACTGGCTTAAATATGATCATAGAAAGGCATCAAGAGCTGCCTGATGAATGAATTATATGCTACCACTATGTTCGTTAAAATCATTCTTCCTGGATTTGTTTTCATTCTTTCTAATGCTTATAGAAAGAAGAGAAAACTATCCAAAGTATGGAAGGGTTTCTACAACAGTGTGGTATAGTCATTTATTTTATAAAGGGGACCAAAGATACAACAGAAACTTTTTGTAAAGATGACATATCCCGTATCTATGGATTCACTAAGTAAACCTAATGCTGAGGACATACATACATACATGGATTTACTACACATCCAAAGTTAATCATGGAAGGTTACATACAAGCTATCAGTATTTGTGTAGTATCTAGGTGGTAGATTAAATTTTATTTATATTTAATTTTTGACTTTTTACCTGTTTTCTCAATTTCCTATAATTAATATTAATTAATTAGGATTAAAATGTCATTTTTAAAGATTGTAAGCATGAGGCCAGAGGTAGTGTAGTAAATGTCCTGGATTCTACCTGCTTGACTCTGCAGTTGGTATCCTGGACCCTGCAGCCTGGAACATACATTAGGTATATGTGCAAATGGGCCCCAAATCCTGAGAGAAGGGAAAAGGGATTGAGCAGTGGCCATCCCAAGGTGGGGTAATTTCTCACTTTCCCTCTTTTTTGTCTCTCAGGTGAGCAGATGTAACCTTATGGCATTAAAAAAAAAAAGTATGTATTTATCACATTGCCAAATTCAATGCTACCCTCTATAATACTAAGACTCCCAAAGAAATTAGTTTCTTCTAAATTCTACTTCTAATAATGTGGTAAAAGATATAAGCACAATAATATATAACATGTCCCATGAAATGTGAATATTTGGTTTCTTGTTTGTTCATTTATTGTAATTGGTAACTGAATAATGACTCATTGTTTTTCTGCTCCCAAATCTTCTTTTAACATATAGCACCATTCTGGTTTGTTCTTTTTAAAGATTAATCATCTATTTCCTAATCTTTTTCTAAATGTATCCTAACTTTGAGCTTGACTAGAAGTTAAAAATCACATGATAAATAGACTTTCAAGAAGGAAGGAGAGGGACCAGTATATGATGTAGTGGCTACGTCGCTGGACTCCCATGTAGTCAACTGTGGCTTGAATCCCAGACCCGGAGGCTTAAACTCACACCGGGTGCATTTGCGTGTGTGTCCAAGATCCAGAGAGCAGAATGGAGGAGAAGGGATTGAAGCATGGCCATACCCCCGGGTGGTGATTTCTCGCTTTCTGTCTCTCTCTTTCTTTCTGGCAATCGCACATGCCCTATAGAAAAAAACTGTCAAAAAAAAAAAAGGGACGATATGAAGGGGAATGAAGGGGAGAGAGAGAGAGAGAGAGAAAGAGAGGGATGGGTAAGAGACAAAGAGACAGAGAGAAATACAAATGAGTAATGAGGAGAGAGAGACTGAGATTGAGAGAGGAGTGGCCAGGAGAAGGCATAGTGGTTAGGTCGCGGGACTCTCACATGGCCAGTGGTGGTTACAGTTCCTCACGAAGTGGCTTGAAAATTATGCCAGGCACGTGTGTACAACATCCAAGATCCCAGGAGGAGAATGGAGAAGGGATTGTGGTGTGGCCATTCATCCCGGGGGGTGATTTCTCACTTTCCTTCTCATTCTCTCTCTCTTTGTCTCTTTCTCTCTCTAAGAGTCCACACGTGCCGTATGGCCAAAACCTCTTAAAAAAAAAAAAAGTTAAGAGAGGATAAAGGGAGTGGTGCTGAAGCAAAGTTCCTTCACTCAGGTCACTTCAGTCCACCCAGTGGAACACAGAACATGTGCCAGACATCGTGCTATCGATGACTTCCAGGGACCCAGCTGTTCCTTTTCTTTTCTCCCAACATAAGAATGGGATCTTATATTCTGTACAGCAATGATGCATGAAAACACTTTGTTTGATATGAGAATGGAATTCACTGGGAAAAATAAAAATCCCTGGAAGATTGATCAAGTTAAGATTTTTTTAAATATGAAATGTTTAAAAACAAAACCCTATTTGTACTACCAACAAATAAATCAATAGCCTGTTTTAGAACTTTTAAAAGCAGAATATTTTTTCTGAGCCAAACCTCAAGCAAATGGCTGCTGCTTCCAGCTGTTTGAACAGATTGCTAAAGTACTGTTCTGCTCTGGAAACACACTTTCTGATCCAATTAAAATGCAGGAATCAAATACTCATTTGAAACTTCAAAAAAAAAATGCTCAAGAAGAGTAATTGGTTGCTGACAAAAGCAATTCCATGAATATTTCATATGTAGTCTTTTGTTCCATTTTAAAGTGGCTTCATTCAGTTTAGATAACAGTGAAACACTTCTGTCCATCCGTTTTCAATGAGGTGTAATGTATCATCTCAGAGCCTATTAAGATGTGGGTGTCAAGGGCAGGAAAGAATACATTCTCATCAAGCTACTGTCTTCACTTTGGAAATATTTGTTTAAAAAATGCACACTATATCACACGAGGCTACAACAGTCACCCCAAAGTTGCACACAGCATTATTAGTAGTACCTTCATTTTTAATATAAACTAGAAATGTTCAGTTTATGAAAAATATGTCAAAATGTAGGACTTGGAAATTCATTGAACTAAAATGAACTTCAGCCTGCACTATGCAGCATTCTTTATAAGTTGTAATGATAATTTTGAACAAATTACACAAACTAGCAAATTAAAAATTCATTTATAAAAAGAATGTACCCATTTAAGTGTTGAAGTATGTGGATAATAAGGATCTCACCTGTGCTTCCTGGACAATCTGGTCAACATTAGTCATCAAAGCATCTGAGGATAAAATTTTCAGTGTCATAAACAGTTCATTTTTTATAAGAAACAGACCCTAAAATATTTGGTAGGATTCCTTTTACTAAAATTACTTCTAAGCATTTTTATGATTATATATATTGTATGTATGTTATATATACTTATTATATATTATTATATATTATTATATATAATATACTTATTATATACTTTATTTTATATATAATATACTTATTATATATATATTTATTTGTTCTTGAGTTATTTGAATTTGACTTTTATAACATTTCATAGTTCTTTATAGCTATCTCCTAATGCCTAATAAAATAAAAGTAGAATTTTTTTAAGCTTCTGCCATAGGGCTTGTGTGCTCACCAGAGAGAGACAATGAGGAAGTGAGAAATCATCCCCCGGGGGGATGGCTACACTACAATCTATTCTCCTCCTGGGATTTTATGCATACACATGTACCCAGCATGATTTTTAAGCCATGGGTCTGAGACTCAAACTCTGGTGAGCCATGCAGGAGTTGAGCACCTTAACCACTATCATCTACTGGACCAATATAATATTATTTTAGAAATGAAAGTGAGTGTTTTTCAATATGGAATGTGCTTTACCTGCCAGAGTTCTATAAGAAAATCAAGATTGTATTCATTTTCTTCATAGTTCACATTTCACCTATAGAGTTTTATATAATTAATATGAAAAACTAGAACTTAGGGGAAAAAAGCCAAAGCAGAAAATATAGATTAACCATATTGACCACACAGAGTGTAAAATAATCATTTACAATATGAATCATTTTCAATATCCACTCTTCAAATACTATTACATCTTACCAAGTATGCCTATCTCCTTAGGTCTAACAGTAATATTCCAAATGCATTCTGCTTTTAAACATTCATACATATATTCCCATTGCTTATAAGTATTTAATACTGTTACATAACCCTGCACAGAACTCATTTTTCCCCCAAAATGTCTTCTGAAACAAATAATCATTTGGAAGTGACACAACTATTTATAAGAAAAAAGTAGATATCTAAAGGAAAAATCATTCTCAGAATTCACAAGAGAGTATAATGAATTTAGGGTAATTTTTTAAAAATAAATCCTCCAGCACATATACACATGTAAATGTACAATATTCTCTTAAGATTAGGTTTTACATGAAAACAATAATAAACATGTCCACATTATAAGGAAAAAAAAAGGATTAGAAAACTGTATTTGGTAAAGCTAACATAGTGTATAGTGTATTCCATAAGTTCATTCACTTCACACAAATAATTATTCACTGGTCATATTCTGAAACAGAATCAAGATATCTCCAGAGCCCATGTACCAGGTGAGATTAAATGTACAACTATTTCCCAATGCAACAATTTTAAATTAAAGGGCCTTCATGGCTTTCTCTTGAATGCATTCAGAAATATTTTTTGCTTTTGTTTTTAAATTCATATATATCATTGTAACTAATTTGTAAAGAAAGGATGAAATTAGTAAAATTATAGAGAACATTACCGTTAGAAAATTCAAACCAATAAATTTGTATTAAAGAGTTTATATTCTGCTGTTATGGAAACACAATGTACAGTATATACAGTTTTTCTGTAGAAATTTCCTGAAAGCCATTTCATTTAAATCTAATATTTTACATTAAGTACAGTTAGTGTTTCAGGACACAGAATCATAATTATAACTGATTGACTCTATAATTATAAATATTTATATATCTACATAGAACCATATAGATATTTATTTAGTAGACATATGTAAATATATATATGGTAGATACAGTTATTTAATGTTGAATTTAGAACTTAAATTTTGACTTTGAAGAAGCTGAACATGCTCTGAAGACTCTGGGACCCTGATTAGTTATACTTCCCCTTTGCAAAATTTCATAAAATTGCAAATACACTATTGGAATAATTTAATATTTAGATATAATTGCAGTTACGAACTATTACATTTTATTGAGACAGAGAGATATAGAGACACAGAAAGCAAGAAATCACACCCCAGAGGGGGATGGCGATACCGTAGTCCCTTCTCCAGTCTCCTCTCAGGATTTTGGGCATGCATGCACATGTACCCAGCATGATTTTTAAGCCGCCAGGTCCAGGCCTTGAACTATAGTCCACTACATGAGAGTCCAATAATGTAACCATTTTGCCATCTGCTGGTGTCTAAACTATTACTTTCTATCCTATTTCATATAACATGAAATTTTTATGGCTCAATTACAATGATGTATTTGCCCTTCTTTTTATTTTAAGTGCTCTTTTACACTGTACAAAGAATTCGTTGTTTCTGTTACAAATAAAATAATACTAAATTAAAATAAATAAACACATAGAAAATGTAAAAAAAAAAAAAAAAAAAACACAAAAAAAATGAAAAAAAAAAAAAAAAAAAAACAGCTGACAAAACTCCTGATTTATCATCCCAACATATGTGCTGTGGCGGGTGTCTGTCTCTTTATCCTTCTCACTCTCTCTGTCTCTCTTTCTCATGAGATAAATAAAATAGATGTAAACAAATTACACGACCAGCCCTGTAGCACAGCAGTTAAGCCTTGTGCCTAAGGAGTCTGTCCTAGATACACAGAGCTGCTAAAGACAGGGAGAGAAGTGAAAGATACAGAGACAGAGGGAATATGCCATGAAAAGATCTGAGTAATCTGAAAGAGTGAGTTTTAAAGCTATTATAAAAATCCAGTTACAGGGTCTGCCTACAGCCTAGTGGTTCAATTGCCCTGGTGGCTTTTATTTAAAAGAATTGTTTATTTTATTTTATTTATTCATTTATTTTAAGTTGATGGGGGAGAGAGAGAGAGAGAGAGAGAGAGAGAGAGAGAAACATGACTAGTGTGTGCATGCCCCAAATCCTGACAAGAAGGAGAAACAAAGAAGAGACTGGCATGATCACTCCATTCTCTCCTTCTCTGTTTCTCTGTGAGTGCACATAACCTTTTGCAAAAGAAAAAAGAAAAAAAAAAAAAAGGAGAAATCATCATCAGCAGCAGCAACCTAGTTTGTTAAGAGAAACAACCTTTTTCCATCTAACCCACCTCTATACTGATTTTTTTTTTCCCCAAATTTGTACACACTCAGACAGAAGTACATGGTTAAGGTTGGAACTCTGGATGGCTCTTTAAACTCAAGGGAAGGCTGAGCAAGGACAAGATAGTAGATGGTCTTCATTCTGTCAAATATGAATGAAAACTTTTTTCTTAGTATATCAGATGCAATTGGAAATTAGCCACATGGGGACAAAAACAAGCTATCTGCTGTCTTCTTTAAGCAAATCTTTTATTTACCTTCACAATTCTACCTACAGGAAATTTTTTTTCTGGTTTTTTTTTTTTTTTTTTTTTTTTTTTACTTAATTTTATTATTATTCTTTTTAATTTGCTATAGTGCACATGTGCTAACCAAAGAGAGACAAAGAGAGGAAAAGCAAGAAAGCAAGCCACCAGGTCTGGGACTCAAACCATGGTCATCCATGTGGAAGTCCGCCAGCACCTTAAGTAAGATGCCATCTGCTGGGCCCAGAAAGATATTTTAAGTTTACAATTTTTTTTTTTTAACTATTGGTATCTTAAAGTTATTTTTTAAGTTTATTTTGTGAATAAACAGAAGAAACAGTCTAAACTTTAGTAACTAAAATGTAATTGAAGTGAACTTTATGGTACTCTTAAATGATTTAGTCTTATAAATGAAAAGCTCAGGTTTTCTTTTGCAAAAATGCAAGTGTAGCTAAAAGTTTTATTAGAAGCAAACATTTATGAATGCTTTAAGAGAAAATAACCAGAAAATTAAAGAGATTCCTGTAGACAAATGGAATACTTAACAATTTTTAAATTTCTTTAAAAATCTATGGGGAAAGAGGCCAGTAGATGGCCTGGTAGTTAAAGGTGCTGGACTCCCACACATACGATGACGGTTCAAGTCCCAGTCCTGGTGGCTTGGTTTCTCACTTTCCCTCTCTCTCTCTCATTCTCTTTGTCCTTCTCTGGTAAAAATAAAAGAAAAAACAAAGAAATAAAAAGAAGAAAGAAAGAAAGAAGGAAAAGAAAGAAAGAAAGAAAAAGTAATTCTTTAAAAAAAATCTATGGGGAAAGTATGTATCTTTCAAGGAATAGACTTGTTATTTTTATATCTTGCTTAGAATGGCTCAAAAACGTATATTCTAAAACTTCTCCTAGTTATATATATCTGCAAAGTAGGTGAAATCAATTGTTTTAAAGCACAAAATAGCTTACTCAAACCTCAACTAACTCAGTTAATGGCTGGAAGACCATATAGGACATAGATTGGACATAGCACATGTGCTAACTATATCTAATTTAAATTATTGTATTTAATTCACTTACACATTCATCTGTCTCTAGATGATATATACAAATAAATCAGTAAATAATATCTATCAAAAAAAACTTTGAAGCTTCTTGGAATTTTGAGGCAGCAATGCATGTTTCATTATATCTTTTGGCATTATTGTATTAGTATTTTGCTCTTTTCTAATTTGGAGACAATTATCCAAAAAAAAAATATATGAACATTCATTTAAAAAAAAAATTTGCTATAAATACCTGTTAAAATATGCTCAATGGCAAATAGGTTATTTGTTTGGCTTAACAAGGTAAAAGCATAAGGTGAAATGGCTAAAAATGAAAGAAAAATATTTAAGAACAAGCAAGTAAAAATGCTATATATATAACGTAATGGCTATGTCTCTGGACTCCCATGTAGTCAACCGCAGTTTGCGTCCCGGACCCGGTGGTTTGAGACGCTGGGCGCGTGTGCGTGCGTGCCCAAGATCCCGAGAGGAGAATGGAGAAGGAATTGCAGCGTGGCCATTCCCCCTGGGGGGTGATTTCTCGCTTTCTATCTCTCTGTCTCTCTCTGTCTGTCTGGTGAGCGCACATGCCCTATAGCAAAAAAATAAAAAAGAAAACTCTCCAAAAAAAAAAAAAATGCTATAAATAATTTCCATTAAGTCAGCAATAACGAACAATAAGTCAAATGATTTAGACCACATATATGGCTAGCTAAATGAGGAATACAGTAAATGACTGAAAGAAAAACAAAACAAAATACAAAGTTTCTTGGTTGTGGTAATATAATTTTTTTTTCTTAAAAATAATTATTTTATTTTAACTTTATTTATTATTATTTTCCAATTTGACCAGAGAGAGACAGGGGTGGCGGGGGGAGTGAGAAAGGAAGCCACCGGGTCCAGGACTTGAACCATGGCTGGCCGTGTGGGAGTTCAGTACCTTTAATGACTGCATCACCTGCCAGTCCTGGTAATATTTCAATCACAAATCTACTTGATGCTGATTAATCAGATTTCTTATTACCATACCTTTCTCTCTGACCCATCTACCAATTTATCTGTCCACTCACTTATTCATTCATGTAAGCACCTATTGCGTTTCAGACATAAAATATCCCTAATCTTTTCATAGATTTCTTTTTCAGTCATTTGACACTGACACTGCCCTAAGCACATTTTTTTTTTTTATACTCTAAAGAAATACACAAATAATTTGACCTTATAGATAGGCTAATCTTTTGCTGATTTCTCAAAACAAACTTTTTGAAAGATGAGAAAAAAGACCAGAAATTCACCTTTCTATTGATTTTAAGGACAATTGTTTCCACATTTGGTTAATATACCCTGAAAATGGTTCTGTAAAAATAATCAAAATGGATTTTTTGGGAACCAGCAGTTAGCGTAATGGCTATGTCGCTGGAATCCCACGTAGTTGACCGCGGTTCGTGTCCCGGACCCGGTGGCTTAAAACTCACGCCGGGCGCGTGTGCGTGCGTGCCCAAGATCCCGAGAGGAGAATGGAGGAGAAGGGATTGCGGCGTGACCATCCCCCCGGGGGGTGATTTCTCGCTTTCTGTCTCTATGTACGCACGCACACGCGCCCGGTGTGACTTTTAAGCCACCAGGTCCGGGACACAAACCGCGGTCGACTACGTGGGAGTCCAGCAACATAGCCATTACGCGAACTGCTGGTTCCCAAAATGGATTTTTTAATGGCTTTAGTCAAACAAAATTAATCTCACATGAAAAGAAATCATAGAGTTTTAAATGTCTATGACAACTAAAAGATATTTAATCCAAGTTTCATCAGAATCAGAGGCAGGAAATTGATTTTTAAAAATACAGGCACCTGAAAAGTACAAAATAAGGTGATTTGTAGCTTGATATAGATATGCTCTACTCCTGTTGCATGATTTCAGGGCCTCCCCAGCCTTGATCACAATTTTTTGATTACAGAAATTCTTTCTCTAGAGATTTATTTCCTTAAATCTCAAAAGCTTTTGTGTAGTCAAGAATTTTTAATATTATGCTGATAAATCTAGGAAGGGAAAAAGTAATATGCTTTTGTCAATCAGTACCTACTGAGAAAATATATAATTGATGTTAATTAAAATATTTAGTTGGGATTAGAGCATTATTATTAGGATTAGAGGAATAGTGTTGAAAATACACCTGATTGGGACCAGCAGGTGGCACAGTGGACACTCCCACATGGCCTACCACGGTTTGAGTCCCGGACCTGGTGGCTTGCTTTCTCACTTTCTCTCTCTCTTTCTCTCCGTTTCTCTCTGGTCAAATTACAATAAATGAATGAATAAATAAAATAAAATAAATAATTATTAAAAAAAAAAGAAAATACACCTGACTTTGAGTAGTGCTTTTGATTTCACAAACTACTTATCATGCATGTGATCTAATTTATTCCTCACAAGAATTACATATAATACCTGAACAATGAAGAGTGACTAGACTTTGCAAATGTCCAAGGCACACTTCTCAGAAAGGAAAGGAGGGAAGAGAAGAAATTTAGAAAATGTCTAAAATAATGAATGCACATTGGATGATTTTTTTCAAGACTGGCACTGTGAGTAATTTTGAACTGCTTTCTTCTTACCTGCTACTGAATGACATCACGATAAATCGTGTATAAGATGTGCCACTGACAAGTTAAAATTAACTGAAGTTTTTGTATATGCTTCTAGCGAAAGAAAATGGTTTGTCACTCATCACCTGTGTTTAAGTGGTTTTCATGAGATCTGAAATAATGAATACAATTTTGTGTGTGTGTTTAACTTACTCCCAAGGAGCACTTTACACACAAAGTTTATACTTTATTATATTATGCTAAACTTCATGCTTTTCTTGAGCAAGATAATGGGTCTTACTTTTCACTTAGGTCCTTATTCTCAAAATGAAACAAAACCTTCATGCTAACCCTACTTACAAGTCATTAATAAAGTACCATTATGTTAGCATATGATTTTATCAACCTTATCTCTATACCTTACTTTCAGTGAATTTCCAAAAATGCCATGTTTTCAAGGAACAATATTAATTTCTGAATAACTTTAAAATTCATTTGTAAAATAGTGTAGTTCCAAAAGCTGCATGGTTTCTAATTAAATTTATCACAGGTTTTGGTTAAAATTATAATGCATTTACTTGAAGAGAAAGACATTCAAATGCAGAATTATAGTGCAGAAGGGAAAAAAGCCACTATCTGGTTAATGAGCAATGACTTTATATCACTTATAAATGTAATGAGAACTCCATTAGAAGTTTGTTATGTTACTTGATGATAGAAATAAACATCCTTTTGATAAAGGCAGTCTCCCTCCTTAACTCACACTTAGAGCAATATAAAATTCATTCATGCAGCAAATGAGTGCTGAATGAATGAAAACACCGTCATATGTCCATACAGGTGTCTATTGAGTTGTAGCTCATGAATTACAATTGATTGGATGTTTCGATAAATACAAAATGGATTTATTTTTTTTCCTCCTTTCCATGAAAAAGAGAAATTTCTCTTGGAAGAAATATCTCATGAAAGAGAAATATCTTAGAACCATTAAGTCACCTGGATCAGGGATATTTAGAGGGGTACTTGTTTTAACACCAGGTACACCAACTGAGTATTTCATTTTCAATAACATAACACTGAATCGTTCTCTACAATATTTTCCTAAAAACAAAGACACAATTATTGTCATTGAAAGAAAATGCAGTCTTTTCATTGGAAAATACCAGGTACCCACAAGTGATCTTTTGTAAAATTGGAGGAAATCATATAGTTTTGGAACGTGAGACCCTTTCTTTCCTATGGCTATCTTTATTTTGTGCTCTGCTGTTACACAACCTGGAAGCCAGTCCTTGAATAGCTTAGAGGAAGGCACTGCTGCTGCTGTGTCATTGTTTCTTTAACCATTTTATCTGTTACCTGTTGTATCTATAGATCTATGTTTGTGCCTTAGAAGATTTATACACAACTTGGGCTCTATTAGCCATGTATAAGGGAGATGAGACTGGAATGCCACATGCCAAATCCCTATGTGAGATCTCAAAATCAATTTTCATAGAAAAGAAATAAGAGATTACAGAGCGCTCTCCAATATCCACTCAGAATTCGATAGAGTGGCTTTTCCACTGTGACCATCAGAAATGTTGGCCTGAATGAACATTCCACTCATAGACACGCTTCTTTTAGAAAACAGTCCACGTGTGTGCGGTGAGTGAAAATAACCATGATATTCCTTTAATTCTCCACTCAGGGAGTACCTGTGCCTTGCTCTGGATCTCTCAGCAGGCAAAGTGGGAAACTTACTTGGCTTTGTGTGTGCTCTTTTAGATGTGGGTCCCTCTGTGACAGAATCAGGCGGTCGGCTAGCTAACTGCAATGCAGTTGAGTTGTTCCTGTTAGTGTTTTGCGATTCGACATTTGTAACAGCTTCACTCTGTGGTTCGGTACTTGGCTTTGTGCCAGTCTTTCTTTTCTGCTTTTGGGACATAGAAGTGCTTGAAGTCCAGGTAGGAGGCAAAGCAGAGGTAGTGGTAGAGGAGTCCTGACTCGAACAAGTTTCAGAAGATTGAATCACATTGTCATTGGCCACTTTACAACACTGGGTGTTCTCTTCAGGCCCCACAGCCTGTTTGGACACGGACTGGGGCAGTGTTACACTGCAGCCTTGGATTTGAGCCCCGTTAGTTTGAGAATAAACATTGCTAACCTTGGTGACCTTGTGTTGCCCGTTATTGTTACAAACCTTATACCGGATCATGAGAATAATGATGAAAACCAACACAGATGCTACAATTATTCCACCAATAATAATAATCATGGTGCCTCCCAAAAACTGGGACTGCATGAAATGGCAACGCACATAATCCTGTTCCGTAGTAAACTGGATGCAACCCACGACTCTTGTGGCAGTGAGGGAAGTGATGCCATCGTCATATATTGCCAAGACACACAAGTCATACATAGTTCCAGCAGCCAGATTATTGACCAGAAAAGTTTTGCTCGTGGGAGGTATCATTCTGAGGGACAATGGAATTTGTGTTAATATTACAAACGAAAGAAGGCATGCACACACAAAGTCATTATGACTTCAGTTCTGTCTCATTTCAGTACTCATTAAGATAAGCACTTTTATCACAGATATGAAATATGAGAAAATGATCTAATCTTATAGTTACTCAGTTAAAATGGCTAGAAGTCATTGTCGGACTCTGCATTATATTAATGGTGCTTGCACTGCGCCTTGACAAGCTTACTAATTACATTGCTCGGCAAAGCAGAACTCCTAATAAAAGCCACTGCTACAAAATCATTTATGACAAATTGCTTTTGAAAGGTGTGACTGTGACATTATCTGACTACTAAACAAATCCATTTAGCACTTACAACACCTCTGTGACTAAAAGCCAATTTGAAGGAAGAGAAAACACTGACAATCACATTAGAAACCAGAATGGAAATGCATTTCAGAGCATTTATTTTCTTCGAATCAGTAATAAGCTGCTATGGAATGGTACTAGCTAAATCTATCTTTAATAACTAAGATAATTACTAAGATTAAAGTATTTTGTTTACAGATCTCATCTCTTTCTTATGCCTTCAATACTTGGTCCCCAGTATATTTTTAATCTATAAATAAGAATGATGAACATGTATGGGTAATATTATCCTGGAAATGTAAACAAGGCAAGGCTGTTGGCCAGAGTGTAAATGCCTTTTCCCAAGATGAACTGACAATAATTTCTATGACAGCATAGTTTTGAAAGTTTCAAAAGAATTTATCATCATTTCTGAATCTATTAGATCATACAAATTTTTGTGAATTGCTGTTTTCTAACTCTTTTTCCCTCAGCTGTAACTAAATATGTCTTACACCAAAAATAATGTGGGGGAAAAAAACGACTTGAAACAATATTTTTTCCCTGGAAGTGGGTTTTATGTATTTTAAAACTTGGTGATATGAAATCTTTTACATTTAGCAAGTACATCATAAAAGCCAGGCATGACTAAGCATTTTATGTACATTAAAATTTACCCTTTACAATGACCTTTTGAAATAAGCATCACTATTTTATAGGTAGCAAACATTAGAGTCAAGGATTCCAGCAATTTCCCTGAAGGTCAGATACATTTTACTCATTATAACTGGATTAAAATACTGGAACTTGGAAAATTAAATATGAGCAATTTTACATAGATGTTTATCATGTTAGTTTTACAGGAAGATAAGGGCTAGGGATGGGTGCTTTTCATCCATGACTGAATAATAGGGCACAGGCTAGGTGAAGAGCCTTGTCTAACAAGAGCTAACTACTTTATATTAATAATCATGTAGCATAGTCTATGTCCTTATATATTTAGTTATGAGAGGGACATTAGAATCTATTTAGTTTAATCTTTTTTCTTTATTAAGATGAGGAAATTAAAACTCAGCCAGGTAGAACCTTGCCCAGGATCACTCACATGGCTAGGTCACATAGTTTTATTTTTACATACTAGCACATGGTTATTTTTCAAAAATATTCTCATTTTCATAAGTGAGTAAAAATCAAATTATCTTCAAGAATTCACCTGGGCGTACAAAATCTTAGCTGATCTGATTTCTGAAAAGCTTAAAGATGAAAAATAAATTATTTCACAGCCACAAGTTTTGTATCATTTCCTAAGGGTAATAATTATCTACCACAATTGAAATGATATGAATGGGTAAAAATGTGTACTTCCATCTAAAAATTGGACAAGATGTGACATAAATCAATGAGGCTTAACTTTGGAAAAAACATACCAGAAATTCTTTAGCAGGTGCAAATTCTCCATCATTGTCCTTACCCGGAGATTACATACTTAACCCCAGTGATACTTTCACTGCTCAAATATTTATAAACTCTCTCTTTGGAACTGTCTTAAGAACCCGTGCACATGAGACAACACACACGCGCATAACTCAATCACTCAAAAACTCAGTCTCATTATGTTATAGTTACATCCTATTTGACCAAAAATGGTAACACCCATCTTGATCACCCACCTTATTCATAAGACTTGACTCCAAATGGCTTTTGCTTGTTTCCAAAATTCAAATTCACCCTCAAAAGACGAAGATTTGCCACCACTGAGGATATTCAAAATAGTATGACGAAGGTTCTAAAGATAATTCCAAAAGTGCTTTGAGCAATGGCAGCATCATTGGGATAATGGTATAGCCTCCCAACGTGACTTCCTTGAAGGAAAGAACACTCATGTGGATGTGTAAGTTCTGGTATGTTTTTGAATGTTTTAAATAAATCAGTCTTGTTCTCTGATAGTCACATCTCTTAGATGAGGGGAAAGAAAGTAAGTAAGCATAATATTAAATTTAATTTTGAACTCTCTAAAAATAACACCATTCCAAATATTTCCCCACTTGTATTCACCACCTTTTATAAGCCTTACAGTCTACACTTTAGAAAAGGAACTACTGTAATTACAACACAGAGTAGCACTGCCAATTTAAGAAAAAAAAAAAAAAAAAAAG